AAATTTGTGGACATTAGCTGCCAGCTGGTGATTTTTCTTGATGTTATAAATGAGGATATCAGTTAATGTGATTAGTAATGAAGGAGATTGCCTCATTTATTTTATTTTATTTTATTTTAAACTTTAAAATCAGTACTTAAAATCATTTATTTCTTTGTATGTATTAAATTAATGTGGGATGTTTTAAAAAAAATATTTTTAACTCATTTGGTTAAAGGTTCAATTCTTATCTTCGAATTTATTTATTTTTCGACACTAAATATGAGTTGTTGGTGTATTTAAATAATTTGACCTTTAAAATCAACTAAAAATTATTGTTGATAAACTCAAAACATTTAATCTTTAGAATTAATTAAAATTCAATGTGATTTGATATTGACTTAATTTTAAAAAATTATAAATTTTGTTTCAATCGATGTAAAACTTAATCTAAAAATACTCAATTACTTGTAAATATCTAAGTATAGTTATGAAAAGAGAATTGTTTTTGTTGTGTGGTATAAAATCTGACAGTAAACCGAAAATAAGTGCAAATTACACTTTCTCTATTCCGAACTTGTGATTTTCTTGCGAGATGCATATATATATGAATTTTCATGCCAAAAAAAAAAAAAAATTGTTGATTATTGTAGTAGCCGCATGTCCCCCTTTTTAGAGGAGGGTTTTTTTTTTTTTTTTTTTAACACAAAATTCAGAATTTGATTCTATTTTCTAAATTAACAAATGGTTAAGAAAGTAATGCCACTTATATTATTATGCTTCTTTAGCGTGCCGGAAGTGCACAACAATTGATCATTCGGGGTATCCCATTTTTTATAGCAGTAGCTAGCCTAATGTACGTACATTCTAAATATCTAGATATAATTAATCTCATGTGAACTAAGAGAGTAGCCGTAATTAATAATATGTTGGGAGACGAATTAACGAATTAGGAGGAGAGGGTGCAAAAACAGAAAGGATTAGGACATGGGGTATAGTAGATGTTATGGTTGGGATTTCTAGGTGTTTCTCAGGTCAACTGCATCTGTCCGCAACTTGCACCATCAAAGTGACCTCGAGTGACCAAATCTCCATTTCCAAATTTTGAATGGTGGACTGACCTGTCTTATTCAAGGCCTAACTATGAAGAAGTTTACCAAGTTATATGAAAAGGACCTTCATGTCACAATTGGGCTTGTGTATCCATTATCAATCAAACATTGAAACATCCCTCCTCCTAATATAGCAACAATATGCTATCATTTCAATATTGCTTCAAAAGTTTCCCTTAACTAGCTAGGCGAGGCCCCTCTTTGTTAGGCAGAGTAAGACCAATCCTTTCCAAGACGCCATTTGGGAATCTATCCATTACCTTAAACTTGCAGGACTATAATATGGCTATGTTCAAAGTCTGGTAGCATATTTGCCTTCACAAGCACTCGTCACTTTTTCCAAAATCCAGGTGTTCCTCCCCGAAAGACAAATTTTGCAATGATAGGTGCATTCATTTATTTATTTATTCTACTAAGTGATTTATTATTTTGCCAAGTAATAGAATAAAACAAATCAGAATCATGTAGCAAATTAAACTCAATCAAATCAAAATCATAAATTTGATTGAGATTTTGTTCATACAAGTTAAGAACATATCTTAGAATTAATTGTAGTATTATAGTAGCAATGATAAATTTGTAATAATTATATTTTATATGTATAAATCTAAGATTTTCAGTCCTTGAAATACTAAAGAATACACATTTAACAATCTAACTTTTCATGTTATCGGTGACTTGATATACCCCCATAAATTCCTAACATTGGATTGGTTACGTTGACAATTTAATATTAGCTCCTCCTATCATGATTCAATCATCTTTATCACAATATGAACAACTAAACTGAGAGTACAACAAGTGGCAAAAATTGGACTATTTTGTCAAAGTATGCACCAATAGTACATAGATTGAGTCTCATTTTGGTCAAATTTTGGGTTTCAAAACTACAGAGTAAGTATAGGAAAACATAGAAGAACTTTTCCAACAACAACAAGTATCTAAAAAATCACACATTCACTAAAAACTTTATGAAATTGAAAAGATACAAATATTATCACTCAATATATACAAAAAAACAAGACTCTCTTTGACTCTCTTGCGTTGAGTGATTTTGATCTTATTCTATATGTGAGTGATTTTGATCTTGTTCAATATGTTTTGAATAGTTAGATCCCGAATATGGATCATATATCACCACTATTGAAAACAAACATCTATCTATAAAATTCATTAAACTTAGAGCCAACCTTTTTGCACATGAACAATGACTTTCTCGAGGTTATGGAAAGACCAAAATAGCTTTTGATACACATGCTCACATGGCTTTTTATAGACAATCTTCTAATCAAACACCATAATCCTTTAAGAAGCAAAGGTCGAGAATGCGTTTGAGATTTCAATATTGTTTAATCCAATGACAAAAACCAAATCAGTTACCATTTTCCACAAATCAAAATTTTACATCTCAAAAATCAAGTTTTGGTTCTAGTTCTAATACTATTTCTAATACATCATATTCCCTTTATTTCTATCAATCTCAACGTGAAGTTCAATGCCAATATGGCCATTTTGCTAGTAATATAGTTATCGTTATGCTACTAGTCGAAATAGTATATTAACCATCTTCAACAAGCTTTTTCGGACATTCGGATTAACCCTCAACACAATCGGTCTCAATTTATTACTTTACGGGTACAAAATTTCATAGATGGACAATGGACTCCAAATTCGAGTGTATCATCTCATATGACCCCAAATCCAATGATGATATCTCAATTTTAATAATTATGATGGTGTAGACAAGGTTTATGCTAATGATGGTAGGTCTATCTCGATCTCTCATATTCATTCTACTTTCATATCCGCATCGAGTCAATCATCACATCTCATGTAATTATTACTTGTGCCACTCTTCATTCATAATTTACTATCCATTTCTAAGCTAACAGGAAATAATCTTTGTTTTGTGAAATTTTTTTTTTGGGTTATGTATGTTAATGATCTTCATATTAAAACAATATTAATAGCAAAATCACTAAAGGGTGATCTATATTCATTACCAACATCATAAAATCTTCATAATTCTCAAATAAGACATCAAGTTGTATTTTTGTAGAGCTCATGCTTCTTCAAAAACATGACATGGCAGATTGACACATTCTTCATCTCTTATACTTCATTCAATCAAATATTATAATCTCTTAGAATTATAAGCATATTATAAATTAGTCCTTTTCGTTTCGAGAAACGAATTAATTAGCCCATCCGATTTCAAATACTAATTATTTAATCCTTTTAACTAGTATTCACCACCACTAATTTAATATTTTTTATTTTATTAAATGTCTTCTTTTTTAATCAATCTTTCTATGTTTTTACTTATTTCTTATTCTTTTTCTATTTCTTAAAAAAATAAAAGAAATTGAAAAATAAAAAAGGGACTAAAAATATTAGTTTTTAAAACTAGAGGGACTAATTTATAATTTAATATAGAATTATCAAATTTCTTAGCTATGAATAAAATTTGTGAATCTTGTCGCACAACAAAGAGTCACAAGCTATCTTCTTAGAGCTATTAGTTGTCAATCAACTTTACCACTACATATTAGTCATTGCGATATTTAGGGTCCTACTCCTATAACTTGTATTGGTGCTTTCAATATTACATAATTTTATTGATGACTTCAATAAATTCACATAGATTTATTCTCCTCAACTTAAATGTGATGCACTAAGTCTGCTTTATTGCTTTCAAGACAATGACTAAAAATTTTCCCTTTGCAATTTAAATACTCTTAAAAGTGATATCGGTCCTAAAATCTTATCCTTAGACAATTGAATAAAATGAGATGGCTAAGCATAAACATCGACACATTATAAAAATATGATTGACTTTATTATTTTTGAAGCAAGAATGCTAAATAAGCATTGATTGGAAGCATTTCTCACTATTTTGTGCTTGATTCATAGACTAACACCTCCAAACCTTCAACAACAAACTCCTCATCAAGGTTTTTTTGAATCCCCATCAAATTACTCATTCTTGAGAGTTTTTAGATGTCGGTATTTTTGTTTTCTTTGCCCTTATAGGATGGACAAGCTAAGCCTAAAATTACTATCATGTTTCTTTCTCAAATATAGCAATCAACATAAAAGCTATCATTGTTTAAATCCTAAAACTGGCTGAATATATGTTTCTCGTCATGTCATCTTTAATTAAGATTCTTTTATATTGTTGATTTTTTGAAATCTCCTTTATGTTACAATACTTCAGCTAAAGTTTCATTGATACTTCTAACATCACTCTTTTCATTTTCAAGTACTCACTCAAATATTACTAATTATGAAGTTACAATGGCTTCTCTTTCTATGCAATGAACGAGACTTCTAACACACTTGCTATTTAGAATAAAGGCATTTTCAACTACACAACAACTAGTAACTCGACATCCTATGGGTATAAAAACACGATATAGCATAAGAAAACTCAATTTATTTTTCTCTACTAAGCATCTCATATCTCATGTTTTAACAAAACTATGTCAACAAATGTATCGATAAAACCAACTTTATTTAAAGTTGCATCTAAAGATCCTAAATGGATGGCGGTTATGAAGGATGTGTTCTAAACATTTCTTCTTAACAACACATAGACCTTGGTTCCTCATTGACAATCCATGAATGTTTTTTACTACAATGGATATATCACACACAACGAGTGTAGTGATGGTTCTATTAAACGTTGCCCATTAGTTGCTAAATGTTTCTACCAACAACTTGGTATAAACTTTCATGACACTTTTAATCTAATTATGAAATTTGCAATCATACAAACAATTTTTACTATTGTTGTATCAAATAATTAACCTATTCAATGACTTTATGTCAAAAATACTTTCCTCCATGGCCTTCTAAACGAGGAAGTTTACATGCAACAACCACCGGAATTCATCAATACCTATTATCCTAATCATATATATCGTCTCCATCGAGCTCTATATTGTCTTCATCAAGCTCCATGTGCTTGGTTTCAATGCTTTGGCAATTTTTTACTTCAACAACGGTTTCATCGTAGCTAAACCAATAACTCTATATTTGTTCTTCACTCTTCTACCGGCACCGTTTTTATGCTATTAAATGTTGATAATATTATTCTTACATCTCTTTTGAAATCTTTTGTTATCTAACTTTAAAAGAAAATTTTCATGATAGATTTAGATGACATAAACTTCTTTCTCGACGTTGAAGATAAGTGTGACTCCAAATGTCTCTTACCCACTCAAACCAAATATTATCTTAATCTACTTCAACACAATGGCATGCTTAGTTACAAGCTATGCAATACACTTGTAAATTTAGGTTCAAAACTATCTTCTCATAATGATACTCCAATATTAAATCCTATATAATATCGTTAAATTATTGGCTTCCTTCAATATTTAACTCTAATACGCCTAGACTTAAGTTATTATATTAATCAAGTGTGCCAAACACATATTACGGTATATCAAAAAGAATCTTGAGGTTGGTATCTTCTCTTGTCCAGGCTTATTATCTTTGGTTCTTACTTCTGTTTATGTTGATAGGGTCGGATGCGTGGATATACGTCACTCAACAACAAGTTTATGTACTTTATTGGATCAAATATTTTATCATAGGGTTTAATGAAACAAACTACAATTTAGCTTAGAGGCAGTATAAAGCTTTAGCTATCACAATTTCAAAAATATTATGACTTTCCTACAAAATTCATGACCTTTTTATTCCAATAATTAATATCTCCTATGATTGTGCACCGTGATAATCTCAATGTAGCTTATACGGTTGTCAATCCAGTCATGTATGCACAGAAGAAGCATATTGAGATAGATTATTATTTTGTATGTGTTCTGGTTATGAATGGTTTTATATCTATCAATTTCTTTTTACTACAATCTCAGCTAGCATATATTTTTAATAAAGAACTAACACAATCACTTTTCTCACTACATTGGACCAAAGTCTTGGTGATACCCACCAATCGTTTAAAGGTAGATAATACAATAAATCAAGATCAATTAAATCAGAATTATGGAATAATCAAGCTTAATTAAATTAGAGTAAATCAACATCAATCAAATAGGAGTAAATCAAAACTCAATCAAATCAAAATCATAAATTCGATTGAAATTATGTTTATATAAATTAACACGATCTTAGGATTAATTATTGCATAATAGTAGCAATGATAGATTTATAACAATTATATATTACATGTATAAATATAAGATTTCCAACCTTTAAAAGATTACGGCACATTCAACAATCTAATTTTTCTAGAAAATCCATCTCCCTAGTGCCCCTCTTCCTAAATGCAATTTCAATAGTCGTTTTTTTTTTCACTAAATAAGTATTAAGTTCCAACATTTATTTAAAAAAACAAATTGCTGTTAAATCTCAAGTGAACTTTTGCAATACGTTTTTTTTTTAATATTTAAGTTACATAATTTAGATAGTTTTTCCGATTTATTCTTAAATCTCATCCCATCCGTTTTAAAATTTTAACCGGAATGAAACGATCAAATTTTCAAATTGTTGACTGTCTGCTTCGCATGATCGAATAGCTTAATTTGTTGAAAAGTCTTTTTCAAACACGAACCCGAAAATTTCTCAAGTATAAAATCTTGGAGTTGGAGTTAGTATGTCAGGGCCAAATCGTGGTAGTATTCAGAAAGCCAATTTGCAATAATGTTGACCTCTCTTTTTCGCACATCTCGAAGCCATTTTGGATCTTCGTTAGTTTCGAATCTGAGGTCCACATGGTGAGCCCCTGTGACAATATAATTTGTGGTTGAAATGATCAGATGTTAACGAAGAATGTTAGTACCCCAATCATTGGCGATGGTAGGGGAAAAAAAAAGTTAAAAGGAAAACTATGGGGCATGAATGATGAATGCCATAAAAAAAAAAAAAAAAAGGAGAGCAAATGAGGCATGGAACTTGTAGATTTCAATATGTGGATATGCTTTTGCCAAGGAATTGATTATCTTAATACTAAGTTATATTAAACTCTAGATTTCAAAGATCTGATCTACTGACCTTCTTTTGCTTTGATAGCCACTATGCTCTTGGATACATTCTCTAGCACGCTGTCATAACCAATAAGCAAGCACGTGCTTTAGTTTTGAAGGATATATTCATTTAAAGCATACCCACATAGAGATTAAAATATAAGAAAGAGATCATACCCCCCACCACTCCAAGGGTCTCTCAAGCCATTAAAGAAGATGATATTGCTACCAAATCTTTTCAAGACCCTTTTAATATCCTGTTCAAAAAAACAGTCGTATATGTATGTCATCGATGTTTAAACCTTTGAGCAAACAGCAAGATCATTTGATTATTGTTGTTGTTGTTACTGTTATTTATTAGGATTTCATTAGTTGGTCTACCATGCAATATTATTATGAATAGCATCCATATAGGATGACTGCCCTCGACGCTATAGAAAATGGTGTACTCACATGGCCACCAAACTCAGCAGTAATCCAAGTGGGTCTAGGCTCAACACCAAAACCCGCTTTACAGGAAGAAGCTCTTTCATTGTAGCTCCACGTAGAAGCTGGAAACATGCTCTCCTTATTGTTACCAGATGTTGGCATTATCATCTCCGTACATGCCTGCAAATCGATTTCGAGACAAGAAGGGCAATTAGCCCAGAGTTGTAGGCTCAAAGTGAAAGGAAAAAAAAAGACTTGTTTAATTTTTCTTTAGAAATTAAAATCTGTTTGCCACTTTCATTTTATTTGTTATGCTTCTTTTTTCTGTTATTCATTTGACACCCTTGCCCGTATGACAATTTCAGTCGTGGGCTTGAGCCCAGTTACATGATTTCTTCTTTGTTGGTCCAGAAAATAAGGGCCCAGGAAATAAAGCTAATGTAATACTGACTAGTGTAACTCTTGCCCTGATTAATTACTAGAACTTTTTACTTTAAGTCAAAGAGACGCCAAGATGTGGAAAGCTTCACGCTACTTCTAGAAAACCATGCCAAACTGTTCCATTAAGAAAATTTATTAATTTTATAATTCTTAAAAAAAAACGAGTGAAGTATACAGTGATTATTAATATGTATAATAGTTACTTCATAGACTCATTTCACTATTTTTTGTTTTAAGCTCATCCCTTTATGTTTGGTTTTTATTTTGCTCGTCCTTCCATTAGCTTTTGAACTTTTTTTTCAATCATAATCTTATCCCTCTATTTTACTTTTTGGTCTTTTATATATATATATATATATATATTCTCTCTAAAAATTAAAAATAAACAAAACTCAAAAAAAGTGAAGCAAAAAATATTTTTTGTATATAAAATATCTTTTATGGGCTTAAATTTATCTATATGTTACTAAGCAAAATTTTGAGTATAAAATAAAATATTTATATTATTTTTTAAAAAAAAGTGATGTAAGTTTTAGTTCTAGTTTTAAATTTTTTTAATGATATTTATAATTTTATAATACATCAAAAGAATCTACCATATTTTTATAATTTTATAATATCTCAAAATTTTAAAATTTTAACTAAAACTCTCTTCGTATTTAAAAAAATATCCTTTTTTTAGTTTTTATTTTTTTATTTTTAGAGAGAATGAGTGGATATTTTTTTTCAAGTTTTCAGTTTTTTAATTAATTTATTTAAATTTGATAAAAAAAAACATGGAAAAATAGAATAGAAATATGAGATTAAAACATAAAAAAATAAGCTAAAACCTTTAGTTTAAAAATTTATGAAATGATGAGATTAAATAGAATAGAAAGATGAGATTAAAATATAAAAAAATAAATTAATACCGTTCGTCTAAAAATTTATGAATTGATGAGATTAGGATAGAAATTAAAGGTAAAAAAATAAACTTAAAATGGAAAGAGTAAAATAATTATAAATAAAAAATAAAAAAGAAGAAGAAAGAAGGCAGTAACCATTGATCTAAAAATAAAACTAGTTTTTGATCCTTGATTACTAAAAAATCCCCCGTCGAAAGGGGTGAATGGTTGAGTTCACCGAAGGGCATTAAATTAATTACCTTTGTTTGATATGATCCATATGAACAGAATAGGGTGGGTCATGCGAAGATGATTAGTGAAATCTTGAGGAAATCCAATTCTTACGTTACAGGCTCCAAAGAGATAATGATAATGACAAATCATGGTAAGCACAAACTTTAGCATGTGAGGGGACATGCATTTCTTGGATACTACTATTTCACCCTCTTTGTTACTCCTATCAAATCAAATATTTCCAACTCACGGAAAGTAGTTTTCGTTTCCATGCCATCTCTTTCCATAATTCAACAACCTTGAGAAAGGGTAGACTATTCCTTTTAGCACTCATTACATCAACAATAATTCAGTTCCCAGAGTTTAAAATTTCTCAATGTTAATCTTATTGTTTTCAAAAAGTTCTCACTCCACCGCTCTTCAAATTAGCTAATGCAAGCCTACCATTTGCAAAATTTCATGTCATTATTTATTTATTTTATTTTATTGCAAAGAAGAATTCTATTGAGTTTCGAAATTTTAAAAAGAACTATATTATAACTTTTATGAAATTATGGATTTTTTTATTCAAAATATTTAGGGACGGTGGATTGAGAATGATTCATGAATAGATAGGTTAATGATTGCAGAGGTCACTCTATTTTATTTTATTTTTTTTGTTATCGTGTTCTTCTATTTTTTTTTTTACTTTAATTTCATATCTTTTATGTTTGGTTTTCATCTTAATCTCATCTCTTCGTTAATTTTAAACTAGCGCAATAGATTTTTTTTATATCTTACTATCGTCTTTCTATTTTATTTTTTCATCTCAATTTTGTTTTTCACCGAATTTAAATAAATATATTTTGAAAAATTAAAAAATAAAACTAGAAAAAATGAAGATATATTCAATCATTTTCTCTAAAAACATTTTATAAAAAAAATGAAGCTAAAAATATTCTTTATTTAAAATATTCTTTATAGATTGAAATTTATCTTTATGATAATAAATAAATTTTAAGTATAAAATAAAATATTTATAGTATTTTTTTTAAATGCGTAAAGAGTTTCGATTAAATTTTTAAATGATATTTATAATTTTATAACCTCAAAAAATTATTATAATTTACTTATTTTGATTTTATTAATTTGACTCAAAAGTGAAAATATAAATTTTGTTACAAATTTTAGTTAAATTTAAAAATTTGTTAGTGTTGGATCCAACACTAACAAAAATTTATATCAAAAGTTTAAAATTTTAAATAAAACTCTTTTCAAAATAAAAAAATACTAAAATATTTTATTTTATATTAAAAATTTACTTATCATAGAGATATATTTTTCTATATTAATCCATCATTTAAATTATTAACTTTTTTTAGTTTTAAATTTTTTCAAGAGAATAACTGAATATATCTTCACTTTTTTTTGTTTTTTTTTCAAAATTTATTTATTTAAATTTGATAACAAGATTAAAATGAAAAAAAATAGAATATGATGATAAGAATAAGGAAAAAAACAATTCAATAACAAGATTAAAAAGAAAAAAATAAAATAGAAGGATGAGATTAAGAAAAAAAAGTTAAGAGAAAGGAAATGACGTTTTGCAATATGTACCTGCCACGACCATCCGCCAAGGCCGTGAGGATCAGAATCATCGTCGAGATCGAAACACGTAGCCATTCCACTATAGTTATAGTAAACACTAGCCGCACCGTACAACTTGGCAAACGTATTATTTCTCGTCTTTGGATCGTCAATCGCCTTACACATCTGCAAAGGTCAAAAGTTGTTAGTCATTGTATAGTTACATAAGTACCATTGTACCCCTGTAATAAGAAGAACACAAAATAATAATAATTGCAATATCTACAAAAAGAACAGTGAAGTAAACTATTTATCCCGTGTTAGTAGGTGGAGCATAGTCATGTTGATTTTTTATATTATTATGAACACTGGAATCTAGGACACGTGGCCACCATAAGATTTGCATATTTTACCCGCACGTCAAGTTAATAACTAATAAAACATTGGAGTCAAATGTATGTGTATACACGTATGTATATTTATATTGGAGTCAGATATATGTATTTATAAGGGTAGATATATTTGTTTGTTTTTATACCATACGAATGTATTTATAAGGATAAATATATTTATTTATTCTTACATAATATGTAAAATCTCTCATTTATTTTTAAATTTTTAATTACATCTCATTTGTCTTTAAAAAATTTTAAAATATTCAATATATCTTTTCAATCAATTTTTTTTACTATGAAAATATTTTTCACCGAAAAAACTGTTTATCAAAATATAAAAAAAATAAAAACATTTAAAGTCACATGATCTACATGTTTTATTTTCGAAGTTTTTAGAATTTTATTTTATTTTATTTTTGTATTTCAATCAAAGGCATTTCGATGAAATTCTTTATATTTAGCCGGAAAAATTGATCGAAAATAACAAATTAAATATGTCAAATGCTTTTAGAAACATGTGAAATGTAATTAAAAATCTAAGAAAAAATGAAAGGTTTTGAGTATTGATTATATAAAAAAAAAATCGATATATTTACTCTATTTATAATTTAATGATAAAAATATTTTCAAATCAGTTTACACACTAATTAAAATTAAATTTTCTTAAATTTGAATTTAAAATCACATTCTTCAGCATTCAGGAAAAAAATAAAATTCTCTTGAAGTCAAATTCATATCAATTAATCTACTTTGGCTATAAAGTAAATTGCTTTTAAAGTAGTTTCAATAATTACTCTTTGTTTAAAAAAAATGATTTTTTTTTACTTTTTAATAAAATATCAAAAAAATTATTAATTGTTAGGTCATATCAATATATTTTATTTACATTTTTCAAAAATATATATTTTTAAAAAATTATAGTTGAATAATTTTTTACATAATGAACTTTAGTTGGATATATTTTTAAAAAGTGCATCATTTAAAATTTTGAGAATACAAGTATTTTGGGATATATATATATAAAAGTGGATGATTTATTTATTTATTGAGACATAGGAAGTAATAGCTTTTAAAAACTAAACTAGATCAAATAATTAGCAAGCATTAAACTCTTAATGAATAGCAGTAATGATTAGTACCTCTTTAACGGGAAAAGCAGGCATCGGACTTAAAAAATTTGAAGGAGTGGGATAATCTGTCATGGCTGTGTAGACCCAAGCAGTTTCAAGCCAGCCTTGGAGAGAACTCGCACTAATGTAGTTCCTGCAGTGACAAAGAAGTCACCAACAATTTTTATTTTATTAAATAAATTAAACTTTTTGATAGGTTACAATAAAAGCTAGGTTGTTGATTAAGTTTATGTTCCTTACTTGCATATTTTAAATGACTTTCTCAGTATTTCGAGGCCTCCAGGTTGGCTTGCAGTGTCTTCAATTTCTTGCCATGATCTTTTGATCACTTTGTAACAATTCTCACTCTCACCCTGAATTAATTTCCACTAAAATAATCATTACTCTGGATCTAGAAACTCTACCTTTTTAATAATCTTCAATTATGATCACAATATTAATTAATATATCGTCTAGCTACTGTTATATATTTAAAGGTTTCTTAAGATTGAACCGCAGAAGACTTTTTAACTTTTTGGCTGATTATGATGACCGTAACTTAAATCTCATCATGATGTCCAATTGCCTTTCAGCAGGAACGACAAGAAGGGAATTTAAAATTTAATTGAGATAGAAAGAGAGGGAGAGAGAGGGAGAGAAGGGACCCTGAAGTCTTGAGTGATGATATCGTTGAAGCTGTATGGTGATGTTATGTTCTCGAAGTAGAGGATTGGTGAAGAAGATGCCAAAGCTCCAATGGCGACATGAGGATATTTCAATCTGAACCATGCTGCCAGCACTGCAAAAACCCAAAAAATAAATTCATAAATAAATAAAAGAGTTTTCTTTTTTAATTCCTACAAAATTCCTCCATCACAAAAATCAACATTTCAATCATACATATGGGCCATGGGATGCTGATGGTGACAATAACTATAGAGCTAACTGAAAAGGATAAAAAGAAAAGGTGTTAATTAAAGATAAAATGCCATACTTCCTCCATAGGAACCTCCAAAAACCACCACAGGAGAGTCAGTGGCTGACAAGTTCTTCTTTAGGTCAATGATAACAGTAGCATAATCGGCTAATGCCTGAGTTGAGGTCAGGTAGCCAAGTGTACTTGAATTGCTATAAGCAACATCTTTATTGCCCCCATAAGGAATGGATTTCCCATAGAACCTATGCTGCAATTCACCATAACTTATTTAATCAATGAAAACAGTGCAAAGGTCATATAAAAAAAATTTCCCACTTTGTCTTGTTTGGTAGCCAAGAAACAAGGAGAACAACTAAGCAATTCTTTTTGACTGGTTGATTTCATCCTTTCTCACACTCTTACATCCACTCCCCAACAACCAAACTAATTAAAAAACTTCTAAATATGCCATGATATGAATTCTGCTTTTGAAATTACTTAAATTACCTCAATGAAAACAAGAAGGGCTTTGAATTGGGGTGCGGTGTCAAACACAAATCCAGTGTTTTGTGCAAACCATTCGATGTCTCCTTCGTTTCCTGTGTACAAGAAGATGGGAGCATTCTTCTCCGCCCCACCCCAATATTTGTCATTGATCAAATATCTTTGTTGAAATGTTTTGTAGCTCTGGGGTCTGAAAGTAAAGTGATCCAGTACTTGAGTGAAGAACCTCTCTTTATAGAGCTCATTTGGGGCGGAAACAGAGAGCTTCTCTGGTTGAATGATTGAAGAAGGGAATCTTGGTATAGGCTTGGCAAACGAGATACCGAAGAACAGTAAAGAAAAGAGAGAAAACAATAGAGATATAAACCCAATAGCCATTATCCTGGTGGTTTGTTTCTCCTACCTTAGCAGAGTGAGTAGAAATTGAGCTTGGGTTTGAACTTTGATAAATGAAAGAGGCAGAGAGGAGTCTTCAAAAATCCACAACTTGTATAGAACAAAACATGGAGCTGGAGGTTGGTTGTATAAACCCAATAGGCAATATCCTGTTGGTTGTTGCTTTGTTGGCCAAATTGTTAGACAGCTTTCTTGTTGTGCTATTGACTATTTTTAGAGGGGGAGTGGGACTCAAAAAATGAGAGTAGATTATAAATTATTCTTTTTACTTTTGTAAAATAAATTAAATATTTTTTTATAAAAATAATTAATTAATTTTTTAATCAGTATTTGTTGTAATTAATTTAATATTATTTATTTTTAAAAATGTTTTATTTTCTCATTAATATTTTTTACTTTTTTTATTTATTAAAAAAATAAAATATATTGAATTGAAACTAAAGAGATTATTTAATTCATTTTAAAAAATTAGAGGTATTAATTTATAATTTATTAAAAAAAAATGATGATTGAGATTTGATGGGCTGCATCCTTCTCATTAATTTTCAACAACCAAGAAAAAAAAACCACCGGAACTTTCTTAGTCTCAAGTGTGTTTTTATGAAGGAAGGGCATGAATTAATTATTAAATAATGATGATTAAAAGATCCAGGTTTGGTATAGTATATTGATGAACAGAGGAAAATAAAACCTTTTTTTAGATCAAGTTTTATTAAATCGAAAATTTGTTGATCGGAATTGTTCCCGACCTCTCCCTGTAAAGGAGCTTTCTTGAAGCTGGATGAATTTGGTGGAATGGAAACTGGAGTCCAAGGAGAAGTCTTTTCATGAGTATATTCTTCTATGCAGGCATATGTACAGTAAACCAATAATGGCCAATTGGAATATTTTCTTTTTCCACCAAACAAAACCAACGGGCATCGAATATTACCTTTTTTTTCGCATTCACAATATGCGATTGCAACTGCATCAAACTTTAGTTTGTTTTTGTAGATTGGAATTCTCGAACGCAAAGACCAGAACTTCACTGTTTGTTAGAAAGGATGAATAGAGGAAAGTGAAAAAAGAGAGAGAAGGAACTTATCAACTGTTGGCAGCAGCTGTACTCTACTTGTCTGTCTTTTATCCAAGATTGACGTTACTTTTGATTGGAGAGATGGTCAGACGGGGGATCTTTGGTTTCTTCGTCTTCTTTTGTTTCCTTCGTAGAGATGGTCAGACGAGGATTTTTGGTTTGTTCGTAACTTTTTGTTTCCTCCATGTGTATTCACCAATATTGTCTATGACTATAAGCAATGATTTTATATTGATTATGAAAGATACTGGGTGTTTGTTTGATTATAAATGTAAGGAATTTTTTTATTATTTTTAAAATTGAGAAGGTTCACTAGTTAAGTAATTTATCATGCATCAGCACCACAAAAGTTTAGGACTTGATGTTCCGTATGCCGGCGCTTTATAAATTGATGGAAAATAGTCAATTTGAAGCTCACTCTCCGAACTAGCTTCCCGAGTTAAAAACAATGTAATGCAAATTATTTATTTTCTTTATATATTTCAATATGTTATTTATTTTTATTTTTTTTTTGTGCATGAAAAATTTGACTCAAAAAGTCAAAAATAAATTAAAGTGTGTTTCAATATGTTTTTTAATTCAACAAGAATATTGTCAAATTAACTTACACATCAATTAAAATTGAATTATTATTCAAATAATTTTAAAAATACACTACCACAACAATTAATGCCTCACTTGAAGGTGATTGTCTGGAATATAAATTACACTGAGGGTACAATATAATTAATCATTGCTTCATTTGTGAAATACAAAAAAGGGAAAATAACTTGAGATATATAATGGGGTATTTTTTGCTAAATTTTCGTATCAATCCAAACTTAATCTTTTATTTTTAAGATTAAACCAATGTTAGAGCATACCTGGTCTTTAGTTGACCACTAAACTATCACTTAAAATCATCTTAAAACTAGTATATATCACTAACAGAATAATTATGACTAATTATTAATAAATAATGAGAATAGAATCTTAATTTTAGTCGAATCAAAATAATCTTAAACCAAATGCTTGGTAGGGACTTGATAATGAGTTTTTAAAGAGATGATATCTCAAGAGTGGCAACTACTAAGTTTTTCCTCATTTGAGCTTTCCCAAGATGCTTTTTATCGTTTACAGTGGTGATTAAAAAAAAAAAAAAAAGATGCTTTATATAGTAACGGACAATGCTTTTCAGATTTTGAGTAATAGAATTAGCTATTTTATTTCAATAAGATCAACACATGATGAAGATATCGAGATATGGTCCTTATGTCACATTAATTAGGTTCGATCATTATTGTTATAAAAAAAACTAAAAGGTATGAGAATTTTACTGTTGTTAAATTGTTTATATGTCTTAATTCATTATTTATTGAGTGGCAATTTGTTTAATATTTAGGTATGGTTTTATCGTTAATTTTCTTGTGTCTTTTGTCATTGATATGCAAATTTAACAATTTTTTCTATTTTTATCTCTCATGTTGTAACTTTTTTTCTAGTCCGTGATTTTATTTTGCTTTCATTTTGGTCCTGCATATTTGAAGGAAAGAGAAATGACAAAGAGAGAAGAGAGGAGGAGAGAGAGAGGAATGGTGAGGCTAGTTCCAACCACTCTGATGGTTGAACTTATTATCATTTTGTTCGCTTCAATAAGTAGAATCCGTTTATGGTGGTGGAACGGAGGAGGTAGATTGAGATCTTAAAATATTTTAAATTTTTTTATTTTGATTTGATTTTTTGTATATTTTTAATGAATTAAAATAGATTTTGATACTCTAAATGATTTTTTTTATGTTATTTATGTGATTTTGAGATATTTTTTAAAAAAATGAGGCTAATTTTGGTTTAAGGAGGCTGAAATTAGGAAACTCGACTTTTTGACAACATTTTTGGCAAAATCGAAGTCGTCGAAAATTGCAAAGGTCGCTGGAATTCAAAATAATATATTTTTTTTATTTGCACCAGCCTACTTGGGCCTGGTCCTCTCGGCCTAGGCATGCAGGCCTGGCCCCCAGGCCAAGCGTGGGGCTTGATCCTCCAGGCCCAAGGGAGCAGCCTGGTCCCCCACATGGTTGGCACCTACAAATCCAAATATCTCCATTTCTTTTCCAAGTACTGTTTTTTCTTTTTTCCTTATTTGTTCAAATGATCTTAGACTAAACAAATTGGAATGTAGACTTCTATCTTTCATGATTTCTCCTCCTTTTAAAATGAAGAATTTTATTTTTATACTGAAATGTAAATTAGTTTGAAGATATTTTTAACAAAAAAATAAAGTTAATCAATTTTTTACTTTTCTTATCACACGCGCGCACAAACACACACATACATATATATAAACAATTGTTAAAAAATTATGTAAATTATGTTTTAAAACCTCATCCAACAACATGAGTTTTTAAATCGAAATAGTTATCCGACATGATATTCTAGAATCATCGTTTTTATTAAAAATTAATTATACATTTTCATATATAATACAAATTATTTACTATGAATATTTTTTAACATTATAGAACCAATTTATTTGAAATAAAATAATTATTTTTTTTAAGGAATCAACCAATTATTCAAATACAGTTTATTGTGCTAACATTATTGATTTTTTTGAATTCATTATTAATATTTTAGTTTAAATTATTGCAAGTTTTTATTTAAAAATCAATCCATAAATAAGAATTTTTTTTTAAGTAGAAAAATTATGAAAACATTAAAAAATTAATTAAATAATAATTTTTAAATGATTTTGTTCTCACGAGACCCGCAACGTAGCACGGGCAATTAACTAGTACAATAAACTAAAACAAAACCATAAACACTATAGCAATTACTATTTCAAACACATAAACATTATAGCAATTACTATTTCTTTTCTTGTATATGCATATTTATTAGTATTGTTCACGTCCACTCAATTCCACCGTACATTTTATTGTTTATAAACACCTTTGTCAAAAAAAATTGCACTTTTGGTCTCTCATTTTTCTCAAAAACTTTTGTTTCAATCTTGAACTTCATTTTTATTGGAGTCTCGGTTCCCGAATGCTAGGAGGAGAGAGAAATGAGAAGAGAGAATGAAGGAGAGAGAGAGAGGGATGACAAGGTCAATTCCAACCACCTTGACTATTGAACTCACCACCAATGTATTTGTCTTGATGAGGAGAATCTGTTTATGGTGGTCGTAAGTCATGAGATGGTTGGAAAAGATAGATTCGTATTCAAAAATATTTTGAGTTTTTTTTCTAATTTGATTTGAATTTTTATGTGTTTTGTGTGTATTAAAATAGATTTTGAGATTCTAAATGAGTTTGTCGAAGTTATTTCCATAATTTTTAGGTGTTTTTGGACAAAAATGACATTGAATTTAGGTTTGGAGAGGTCGAAAACTCGAAAATATAACTTTTAATGATTTTCCGGCAAAATCGAGTTTGCCAAAAATTACAAATAGATGACACATTTTTTGCCGCATGATGAGTTACCTTAGCTCGCACCTGGATTTATTATTCTTTTATTTTTATTTAAAAATTTTAAGCAAAAATTATGAAAGATCGAACGTTCACACAACCTTACAAAGATAAAATATATATAATATTTTTTTATATTAAAATTAACATATATTTTTTAGATTATAACACCCTTATTATTTAAAATTAATTGTTTCAATTTTTCATCTTTTATGAAAATTTTCATCCAATTAATTTTTTATAAAATTTTATTTATTGATAAATATAATTTGTATTTTTCTATATATGGATTTTGGAATAAAATTTTAAAACATGATTTAAAAAAATAAATTGATATAATATATATTAAGAATTCTTAGAATTTTTAAATGATTATGCCATATATGTTGAAGGAAAAACGTGCTACAAAGGAGCGAAATAACAAAAGTTTTTGTTTTCCTCCAATCATAGCAAACGGGATC